CTACTTGCATGATAGATAATCGGTCTAGAAATACATCCTCTGATGGTACAAGACCATTCAAATATGTTATCAACACCACTCGTAGTATCTGGTACAAAGACCAGTCATAATAATTTCTCAAACAAAAAGAAACTCAAATAATTCTCCAAAGAGAATATAATAATGGTCATTTGACCACTCATAATAATTTCTCTAACAAAGAGAAATTCAAATAATTCTCCAAAGAGAATTCAAAAGATTAAACTTGAAAATTTCTCAACTCAAATGAGGAGAAATTAACATAATTCTCTAAAGAGAATTCAAGAAAATACTCAGAAAATTCAACGAGTAGGAAGAAAGGGGAAGAAGATTGCGCTTCGACAATTCGAGAGACGCAGAGTTATGAGAGTGAGGAAGGAAAAACTAATAGAGTAGTTTTTGGTGTAATTTGGAATGAAACATGTGCACTCCTTATATAGTGAAGTAAGATAGTTAATATTTCTCACATGAGCAATGTGGGACTAAATGGGTTTTTCAACCAAAAAAATATTCTAACAATGTGGGACTTGAGAAATTTTTAAATTCAACATATTGAAACATGGACATGTTCCAACAAGTTTTGCTTTGGACCGGATCTTATTCCCTCTAAGCCCACGATGCATTTTTTTAAAGCCTGGATGGATTTAAACAAAAACAATGCCATGGATCATGCTGCCGGGCCTAGCATCAGATTACTTCAGCATACCTCCTGCTTACAGATTGCACCCCCCGAGTTTATTCTTTTAAATAATTTTGTGAATTATTTAGATTTTCTTGAAATTTGTCATCACATGATAAAAATAATAAAATCAAATATAAAAACTTGTTAGATTTTTTATTTTTTTATTTGATTTTAGGAATTAATTCATAGTTATCCGATTATTCGAAATTTGCGATTCACCTTGGCTTGTTGAGATTTGAGTATTATGTAGGTTTATTATGCGATATGTGGATGCGCTTGAGATTTTGATTGTGATTTATTTTCACATTGATGATGCTTTAACACTTATTCTGAGCGTTTAGTTTCTGACTCTTTTTGGATTGGTGAAGCTTTCGCGAAGATCATCGGGTTTCTTTGTTTTGATACGCTTTGCTACTGATTGATATCCGTTTGGTATTTTCTCTTGTTTATCTCATTTCACACTTTACTTCTTTCTAGATATCATGAGAAGTAGGAAATAAAGAGCGTGTGCTCGAAGTCGTTGTTTAAAGACCTGTAGCAGGCATTCTGCACTTCATTTGCTATATGTGTTGTGCTTGTGTTTGTTTACTTTCTTGTTGATTGATGAGTCACTCAATTTAGAAGTTTAGATCACGACTTCGCTCTCAGTGCATGCTCCCTATAGGATTTCATTGCTTTCATTTATTTCTTGTTGATCGATGAGTCACTCAATTTAGAAATTGAGATCACGACTTCGCTCTCATTGCATGTTCCCCATAGGATAGTTTTGTTAGACTTTCTTCGATGTGCTAGCCTAGGTAGGATCTCTATAGCTGTGCTCACTTGAGCTATCTCTCTTGAGCTTATTGGCTTGCTTGTTTGATTTCATCTTTGTGTGCATGTTTTTAGATGATATAGCCTCTGCATGTTCCCTTAGGAGCTCTCGATTAAACTATAGATGATGATTCGAGATAGACATAATTTTAGGTGATAGACCCTTGTTATGCTCCTTTGGGACTTCTTGATTCATCTATAGATGATGAGTTGAGATAGACATTAGGATTGTTATCCATGCATGTCAACTTAGGGTAGAGATTTCCCTTCAAAACTCAACCATAGGACCATCATTGTATGATAACATCAGGGATTAGATTTAGGTTAGTCCCCCTTAGATGTTTTCTTTTCTTTTTCATCCTTGCATTTAAAACTAAAACTCTTTTCTCTAAAAAAAAGCACAAGACATCCAACAATTTCCAAATCCTTCTTTAAGGTAAAAGCTATCAACCAATGCAATCTCTTTTGCGCCTTCGAGCTTTTCTTTCAAACTTTTCAGAAAGAATATGTTAATTCACTTTTGTGCTGACGCGTAAGTCTCTAAAGGTCGAGTTGCGGCAGAAGGCGAAATTAATATTGTTCATTAAAAAATACAAACCAACAAAAACATGTGAGCCAAACTACGGTTGCTCTGATTCCTTAAAAGGGATACGTAGGCATTGGGGTAGGGCCCGAGCGAGCATAACTTTTATTTTCCCTACATTATTTTCGCTTTATTTTGCATGCATTTCTTGTACAGCTTAGATATAAATTCTTATTCACCCTTTGATTAGAACAACAAGAGTGGATACCGTAGAGTACTACGGGCGTGTGGGGTGCTAATACCTTCCCCTCGCGTAACAGACTCCCTTACCCATATCTCTTGGTTGTTTGACCTTGATTTCACCCTTCTCAGGTTTACTCGATGTTTACCTTTCCCCTCTTGTGGGATAAAAAATGTTCAATGGCGACTTCATTAATTTCATTATCAGTTGATTGTTCAGCTGATTGTTTCAGCTAGCGACTTCACTAGGGAAATGTTGACCTATTACTGGTCCATTCCAGAGTCGATCCTGGATATTGTTTTCTTTTCATTGGGTGTTTATTTTTATGCTTTATAGCTTTTTCATTTTGTACATGTTTATTTGAGCAGATGTTTGCATTTCATTTTATCGCTTTCCATATATTATTGATACTATTGTGTTGGATCTGTTTCCATGATTGGGTGGGTGTCACAAGAGGTAAAAGGCCCAATACCCAGACCAAGTGACCACCATAGGAACCCTAGGAATAGAGTCGAACATGAACGTCTAGTTGACTTAGGTTTCACTATTGCCTCCATGTCGTCCATGCTCAGATGAGGTACAAATGAGGGGCTATCATTTTCACGTAGGTGATATGGCGATAGTTTTTCAGGAGTACCCTCGATTATGGGTTACCCGACCTTACCCTGACCTAGTTTTCATCCGTGAGAGGGGAAGGACTTGATTATTACAGGTACAGATGATGACTATGTTATGATGGTGACCGTTGTTCTATTGGTGACTATGTGGGTCTCAGATTTATTTTCTGAGTTTCTGGATTCGGTATTCAGGATGGTTATTTGGTTATGTTCTGGACCTTTGATCGTGATATATTCATCTTGTCCAGAGATTATACAACGGTTATTCAAGGTACTCGGTTCCATTGTATGCTGAAATTGGTTCTGAACCTTTGATCTTGTGATATCCAGATTATTCAGCAGATTTATACAGCAGTTATCCAGAGGATTATACAGTTGTTATGCTGAACTTTTGAACCTATGTCATTGCACCTTGCATCATATCATGTTTATTTTACACACAAAAAGGAAATGTGAAAGATTGTATGCAAAAAAAAATGTTTGAACATGGCATTGCATCTGCTCACTCACCTCATGCATCTTCATGCATCTTCATGCAGCCATAGCAGGTACTCAGACGGTACTCAGAATGGGGAATCCTTATTTAGACTCGATACTTTCTTTTCAGAGCTGCAAATCTTGACTTCTCGCTGCTCCGTGATCAGATTCAAGATATGGAGCAATTTTACGTGGAATTGGACGAGATGAAAGAACAAATGGGATTCTTGATGCTAGACATACATGATTTGGTCCGTGGACAAGAACTCTTGAAAGAAGAAAACACTCAGTTGAAGACTCAATTGAATTTGGTTATGGAAATTTTGGGGACGATGTTGAAGAAAGAAGATGGTTCTATGCCTGCTGTAGCGATAAAAAATGTAGCGAGGTAAATCGGAGATCGAGCTATTAATTAACTCGTCTCACAAAAGCAAGAGTCGCCACCGCGCTTTATTATTTCCAAGGGAAAAGGGAAAAGAGAGAAACAAAACCCTAAAATATGCAATGTAAAATAATACTTAAAAGTAATGAAAATACAATGCATTATTGAAAAGAGATCTATAGTTCGGGGGTTGGTTATACAATGGGAAGGTATTAGCACCCAATGCATCTATAGTATCCTATAGGAACCTTTTGAAATATCTATTTATTAAAGTTGTTTGTTTGATTAAAATGGTTTGTTTGGCTAAAAATGGGTGTGGATGAGATTTTGAAGATACGACGACCTAATGTCGAAGTTTTGACTTAAAAGGTGTGAGTTTGAAAATTGAATCTTGTAGGAAAATTATCTTAGATTTAGAAAAATAGTAAACAAACAAAAGATGAATGAGGGTATTCGCACGATTGGATGAGATGTGTTTGATGACGTGAAGTTAACAAAGTTAAAACATTTCCTTTGGAATTGAGACGGACGAAAGACATAAAGATTAAACGATCGATGATAAAATTAATTAAAATGACAATCGAACAATTAAATAATGAAAATTAAATTATACTAGCATGCATTTTGAATAATTTAAATAAATAGAAAATATTAAAGAAAGAATAAATTATGAAACACGTATTTTGAATAATTAAATAAAATAACGAAAATTAAGTAGAAGATTAATGGCATGTTAACAAAAATTAAATAAAGATTAATTATAAGATATGTGATTTTTTATATTTTAATAATAATACTTAAACTAAACTAATATATATATATATATATATATATATATATATATATAATTCAAATTAATGGAATTGAAAGAAAATGGTTAAAAGAGCAAGAAAACAGAAAAATGCCCAGCAGGGATCGAACTTGAGCCTTTAAGGGTAATGGATAATGCAAGTTGCCAGCTGAGCTATCTTACTAATCATTATTATCCTTAAACTATTAAGACAAAATAGGTGAACATTGAATGGATTGGGTTGGAGGCCCAATGGGCTGACCCGTTTGGCTTTGGACAGAAAAAAAACTTGTAACCCTAAGCACCTTAAGCGAAATAGCGCCGTTAGCTAGAGTTGTGGGGAAGACAAAATCAGATTTGTTATTGTCATTTTATTGGGAAGGCACAAGGATTAAACAATGTCAGTTCAAAAAAAAAGAAAAATCTTCTCCTACGCTTATAACGCAAAGTCCAACACTCTCTCACATCATCTTCTACTTTCTGTCCTTCAAACCGCGTTCTATTTCTTCTCCTCTGCCACACTCTTTCAAAGAAACCAACAAAACCGACCCTGGAAACACAAAGGTCTCAACACCAAACCACTTCATCTCATCTCCACCAACACAAATTTCCCAACAATTTGAAGAAACAAACAACAAAAATTATTAAAATCAAGATTTTCCCTTTTAAAATCCTAACTGCAATTCACGCAAAATCGAAAACAATCGTGAACAAATTAATGTATAACGTAAAATTGAGCATCAAAGCGAGGATGAAAGTACTGAAAGAAAGTAAAAAGAGGAAAAGAATACATATCTCTGCATTTCTTCTAGCAATATCCCGACGAGGTTCCGGTAGGTATTTCTTTATTTCTCTGAGCTCTGTCTATATCCCTTCTAAGTCCTCTTCTAAAAACTGGGGGTCGAACAACCATATGAGGAGGATAAACAGATTCATCCCTTATAGAAGAAGAAGAATTAGGGATAAAATTAGGAGTTTCAGTAGAATGAGGTTGTTGAGCCATTAAAACTGATATGTTTGCATTCAAAACAACCACTGAGCAATGAAAACAAAAATTTTGGAAAAGTAAATTGCAGTTTCTACCGCGACGGATATGAAGTTTCGAAAATCGTAAAAACAGGGAGATGTCATTTTGTTATGGCTTCCTATTGCGAGTAGTGTAAGGAAGTTGAGATTTACTGACGAAGCTGGATAGAGGTAGCAATGTCGCGGAAGGATGAAAGGATTTTTTTACCCTACATGCGATGTATTCCTTAATCCTTTAGAATCTCACCTTATTGTTATTGAATTGTTGTTACGAATTCTGAATTCCTAGCCCACTGCTGCTATCGATTGATTAATATGACAGGAAATGTTATAGGATAATAAGGTCGATCTCGGATTACTATTAACCAACAAAGCACAATCAAACATGTTAAGTTACAACTTCCATTTTGACCTGGACAAACTTGAAGAATCACTGAATAAAATATCACCATGGTTAATCAACTCAATTACAAACAGACGGGAGATATCACATAGCCGGCTGCAAACAATAGGAGATGAGGAAGGGTTGCGAGAGCTCAGACCCATCAGTCTAAACTATGGTGTTGTATATTTTAGACTCACTTGCTGGAAGCTGACTTGCCAAAGTAACAATCGTCTGGTCTGAAAAAACATATCATATGCTTTCACCATGAATACGAGCCATTAAAACTCTCCATATGCACAGATTCCTCACGATATACAAGAATTGGGTTCGGTTGCTGGTGTGATACTGAGAAAAGCAGGGTAATTCTTTGAGCGGGGGGAGAACTCCGTTATTATTTCGGAGGAGGGAGTATTTGATGTTCAGAGAGGAAGCAGATCGATGGTGTGATAAAGATGGTGATAGTCTGATGAAGATGGTACTGGTGGTGAGGAGAATGAAGGGAGGAGGCGTTTCTTGATGTATGAAGGGTATTGGAGGTGATGAGAAGAACGGTTGAATAGGGGGAAGTTTTGTTTGAAAAACTCAGTGGGTTGTTGTGGTTTCCAGAAGGTGGCGATGGTTGGTATTTGGAAGAAGTTTTAGCAGTACTTTTTATTTTTCATTCTACTGATTTTTTTCTCTAATTTATTTATTTTCTACTTCTGGATTCGGATCAGTTGGTGCCGAGTTGCTTCTGTTGTTAATGTGAAATTATTGCTATAGTGAAAATAAGTTTCTTTCTTTATGTCTTTTTCTTTATGTTCTCTGAATAAGGTGGAATGGGTATGGCTAAATAGAGGAAAACCAAGAAAGAGACAGAGAAAGAAGAAATAGACGGAGGAGATATGGAAAGAAGCGAAGGCCATGTCGTTCTAATTTTACAATTAGAGGAATAGAATGGAGGAGTAGAATCACAAGAGGGAGAGGACCGAAAGATTTAAAACTGGAGTTTTATTCGGTTAACTCTCAGTCACATTCAAGGTATGATTGTTCATTTTCTTACAGTTTAGTTGTAAAATCTATACGCTCAATTCTGGTTCATTTGTAACAGTAAAAAAAAACAATTTGAGTAAGACTCATGCTTTTCTACCTTGTTACAGTGAGTAACAATGAAGCCAACTACAAGTTAGGATCATGGACAAGCACATAAGCGAATGACAAAATAGTCATACCATGAAAATAATTTATGCAAAAAGATGGAAGAGTTGTTTACCTATCGGAGACTCTCCGATGGAGCTTCAAGGGAAGATAAGCTCGAATACCTTCTTCTTCTTCTTCCATTTTTATGTTACTGGTATTGAATGGTGGGGACTCTTGTGAGTAATAATGAATTTCTGAACAAATTTCTTTGGGTTTCTATCCTCTACTCTCTATTCTTCTCTCAAATTTTCTCAATGTTTTTTGTCTGATTTTTCTCTTGCTTGTGGTTCTTGAACCAAAGCCTTTTTCTGTTTTATATTCTTGCTGAATTTTTTGTGTTTCTCTTGTTGTATCTCCCTTTTTATGTTGACGGAGGCCTATATTTATAGTGAAATGTGTGGGGTTCTAGGAGGGAAAAAAAGGTAGAGATTTGAACTATTTTAGGCCCTGTATTGATGTTTTATGAGACAACTTTTTGAAGTATGCATTTTAGTGCAATATTTGGAGTTTTGTAGATTGTTTTTTGTAGCAGCAAAGGTGCATATTTTTGTCTTATGGGCTGCATTTTGGACTTTTTTGAATGGTCTTTGTTGAAACAAGGTTGGAGAATATGGACAGCCTTATACTCAAGAATTAGACTGTTATTGGATTAAAACAGTGCTGGAAAAATGGGCAGCATTGGTACTGTTTTGTAGCAAGAATAATAGCTTGATTTTCATGTACAAAATTTGTATTTCTTTTGTAACTTTGTAACAATAAATCCAAGTAAATCGTAACATTAATAAACATGTATCCTTTAATATAATCACAATTCCCTTGTAATTATAAATAACTATGAATCTTCATATGAAATTGAATCTTGATATGTCTTGATAAAAATTCAAGGTCTTCCATTTGAATTGGGAAAGAATTGAATAATACTTGAATAAATTGTTGAATGATGGATAAATAATAATGCAAGTCTTAGGCTTTAATCTTGCATTTTGTAGTAGAGTTCCAAACAAATTACCTGAATTGATTTTGTAATCAAATAGCAACCATCATGTAATTAATCTTGTGATGAACGATTATTTGAATCGAATTCCTTTTTCTAATATCTCCTTAATAAATGTTTCATGTGTGTTCAAATAACCATAATGTAAATCCACCAAAATAATCACACAAAGTAATCTTGAATAAATATTTCATGCGATAAACGATTATTCTTGAATGAGATCTCTTGGTAGCTCCTCTTTAATTATCACTTGAATTCAAATAAAGAAAATTCCAAATATTCAAAATAAATTCTTCTAGAATGGTTTTGAATTTAATCATCCCATTTTGATGAAATTCACTCTGCGTCATGAGAAAACTTGCAGATGACTCTTTGTCGAAGTGATCGAAAATGACTGGCATAGCTTGGTTTTTTTTGTATTTTAAAGCAATGTGAAACACACATGAACCAATGGCAGTAGAACTTCGACTGTTCTTTCTGAAAAATTTCAGAGACACCTGAGACCAACTGTTGGAGAGAGTGTGGAAATAAACACACGATTCTCTGAAATTCCTTGATGAACCAGCCTTTGAGAACCAACGATCGACCGCATTTCTGTCTCGAGACTCGAAACCCTAATTGATGTGTGACGTCCGATGCTCTTCTTTCAGATCTATTTCCTACACATGAAATCAAAAATAAAAAAACATACAACTCGTTCTTGATTAGTGGTTAGTCATTCATAAGATAAAAATGCTCACAACGCTCGATAATCTCTACACATTCAAAGCTCGAAGGTGAAACGTTCAAAACCTACCATATTCTGTGACCTTGATGTATATATAAAACAATGCAAATGAAGCAGGGATCTTAGGTCAAAAATTGGGGCATGACAGCTACCCCTATTTAAGTTTCTTCTATCCGGAGATATGAAGATTGAAATCTTTGTCTCGACGAGATTGAAGGTGCTTAAATACATAATACGCAATTTTTGCCCCTAGGATACCGCCATTATGTTTATGATACAAATGTAGTATTTGAACTCTATGGAGAATGATACTGTATGAGACAAAATAATGTTGGAGAATCCAAGCACAAATAACCCACAGGAACATATACTATACATTAATGGGGAAATGAGCCATCGACTTTGAATGATAGACTCTTAACGGAGAATAAAATTTGAGAGAAGACAACTTCTTACCCTAACAAAGAAGACGCCTTGCATAGGTCACGGAAAAAAAAACAGATTATTGACCCAAGATGATGGTGAGTTCACAACTCAAGGTCAAAAATAGACAAAAGATGTATCAACTTTTTCTAATAGTGAACTACTGACTTCTAAAGGTAGAGATTTGACAACAAACTTCTCTGCGAGATTTTTCCGGAGAGATTCCATTTGATGCTGAAATAACATATGTTTGTAGATACACGAGTGTGATACGGTGGGAGAACTGACTAGTGTTTTGCGTTCGTATTCGCACTTGTGCGGTTGAGCAAGAGTCGCCACCGACTTTTTATTTTATCCTAAAGGAAAGGTTAAAAAAGCACAGCAAAAACCTTTTGAGATGTTTTCTTGGGTTCGGGGAGTAGATTATAGAAAGGGAAGGTATTAGCACCCTTTCTATCCATGGTTATCCATGGGCTCTTAGTTACTTGGTTTTTTAGAATCACTTGCTTTGTTTTTCGATTGCTTTGAAGATGGTGTGTGTGTGGGTGCGTTTGAAAATGTTTTGGAAAAAGATGCCTTATCTTAGGCAACTAATGTATTTGACTTGTGTTTGAGTGTTTTACAAAAGTGTGAATCTTTTCGAAAAGATGTTTTCAAATGTTTTTGGGAGTTTGTTTGAAAGTGTTGTGGATTGTGGTTTTTGAAAAGAAGGCAAGTGTTTTTTTGCAAGTTTGATCTCAAGTAACTAAGAGTTTTGTCTACCCTATTGTACTCAAAGGTTTTTGTCATGTTTTAACCCCTTTTAACAATTTTGTTCTACCATTGAAATTGGTAGACAATCTTGCGTTTAGGAAGTTTATTCGGGATGGGCGCGGGTCATCGTATGGACCATGAATGCAATGATGCCAAGTGTCTTTGGCAATTTGCTTTGAAGGGACTATGATCATTCCGTTTTAGGCAACACTTTGAGGGACTAATGATCATTTTGAATTTGTTTTGTCAAAGATACTCGATGTGCAAGCATGGCCCATTTTGGAAGGCAACATGTGGGATTACCCTAGGGGGTGCAAGTGTGATTGTGTATTGATTTCATGTATTTGTCTTGTATTAGGTTATCTAGCGTTTGATTTTATGTACATACAAACCCTAGGTCTAACCATGGTATAATTGGAAAATTGTAAATTGCGGAAATGTAAAATCTACGCTATTACAAAATAGTGTCCGGGAGTGGGGGTATAAATGTACAAAGGGGATGAGACTTATAGTATCCAA